ATTTTTATTACCATTATACTTTTTATACTCGAATTTGTTATATATTATGTATGTATAACAATTATAAATTATTATATCCAATTATAAATTATTTATTCCATGATTTTTTTGAGATTTAAAACAATATGGAACTTGTGTTTAGTTTTCTATATACTACATGAGATATATATCATACTTGAAATGTAAAAGCATTAGGGTTAAGTCACTTGTCATTTATGTACAATTATCTTATCAAAGTGATGTATTTTTTGAGTTTATTTTACAGGTTCAAGAATATAAGGATTCTCTTAAAACTAAGGTAATCTTTTGTCTCAAGACTAGTACCTGTATAATGTTATGTATATATTTATTATCTATATATGTATTATTCAGGCGGAAGAGTTGCTCGTAAAAGGTTTCCCAGAGAAAATAGTTAAATTAAATGAATTGCTGGAAACGCCTGGATTTTGCAATCGAAAGCTGTCAGATGTACATCAAGACTTGAATGTTCCCATTCCAGATCCTATAATTCTTAATCATTCCGAAGATACTCCTGCTACAAAAAGCTTAAATTAGACAATAATGGAGAAGAAACTAGTGGAACCAAAGTCATGGTACTTCCAAGTGGCCCTGTACCTTGTAACAAAAAACTGTGTGATTTAATTCACATAGTTAAACCCTATATTAGACAACTTTTGGAGGATTCTAACTTAGTGAGTATTAAGTATGTTAAAGCTTGAGTAAATTTATATTACTTTTATATGCAATTTTTGTAATAGTAATCTTTACAAAGAGTAATGTATATATTGCTGCAAAAATGTTAATAAAATTTGAAACAGTTTCGAATTTGAAGTTTTCTTTCATTTTTTATAAAAAATATATTCAAAAATTATATTTTTTCATTAATATTTCTTATTTCTTCAAGGAATAATTAGGAATATTCAATATTTCTTCAAGCATTTTTGTCATTATAACATTAAATGTTTCTGATAAATTATTATTTTTAATTTTTTAGCTAAAAATGTGGATTTCTTTTTTGATTCCAAAAATTGAAGACGGGAATAATTTTGGCGTATCTATTCAAGAAGATACATTATCAGAAATTCAGTCCGTTGAAAGCGAAGCCGCTGCATTCTTCGATCAAATCTCTAGGTAATGTAAAGAGTAAATGATATATTGGCGGGCATATATGGATATAGAGAGCTCATTTCTTATTTTTATAGATATTTCATCTCCAGAGGAAAAATTGTTAGTAAAGTCGCGAAATACCCACACATCATCGATTATAGAAGAGCAATTCAAGAATTGGACGAGAAAGAGTACGTAAGCTTATGGCTCGTCATGTGTGAAGTCCGTAATCGTTATTGTTCGCTGCACGATCTTGTAATCAAGAATTTGGAAAAGATCAAACGGCCACGTTCCTCCAACGCGCAATCTTTGTACTAGTAGGCATAGTTTTACGCGCTGTACCTACGTGCAGAATAACTCAACATAAACATAAATCGGAAATATAATAATATAAAGAAAAGAAATTCATCTCCACCCTCCACTCTCCATCCTCTGATACATTTCAATTACCTTGACATTAATCTATCATTCAATCTCGATTATGGCACTATGAATAAAACCAATAGCTACACGTACACTTTACGAAATCATATTATGTAGATTATACTTAACTTATTCGTACGTTTAAGTTCATATAACAGACTTTTTTTGTCACTGATGTATATGAGAAGCATCTCTCAGAGTTAGATTTTAAGTACGAAGTTAAAAAAAATCTCCGATTTGTAAGATAAGCTTTACATCTCTTTCGAAATTGTATTTTATTCTTTAAATTTCATCGACATGTGATATTTCGATATCTGAGCATAATATATATTACACATGCATAAATTCGTTACATAATTATGCGGTGTAGCTTGCATGTAATTTTGCCAATAATATAATTGAGGCACTTATAAACAGGTGGTCAAATTGGACTTAGTATAGTCAAATAAATATTGCATTGTTTGTAATTTCTATGTAAGAAGATTGAAAGATAAGTCTAATGTGGACATAATATAGCTTGATTTATTAAATAATGTGGATTATTTAATAAATATAAAATATATAAATAGTATTCCTTTTTTGTAAGTGTTTATGCTTTGTCGTGATAAACCGTGAAAGAATAAATACGCGCGATCACATGGGATATAGCTTCTCTCATGCTTGAAATTGTCCTTGGGAGAAAAAGGCAAAAATAAGACTAAAACTTTTCTAATATAGAAATTTATAATTTATGTTTTTATCAAAATAATTTATACATATCAAAGAATGGATGAACAGGTAAGATGCACAATTCATTTGTATAATTTGTATAAAAATTCATATAATTAAGTTATAAAATTGATATAATATAAGATTCTATATTAAATATTTAAACGTACAACGCGTAACACAGAAAGTATAATAAAAATTTTATGAACATTCATTTATGATGAATAATATTAGAAAGTTAAGGCTCGGCTTTCTCGCTGCAGCCATATTGAATTATAACGTCAGAGACGAGAAATGACACGTAAAAAGTTTCTTGCGTTGTATAGCTTTATTTTGTACTTTTTCCCTTAAAAACACGATATTTTCATATTCTTAAAACTTGTAAAAAAATACCAGAAAGTAAGATATCTGTCCAATAAATCATGTAAAAATGTAAAAATTCTTGAAATGATGGCAACAATGACACTGCTCAGCTATCAGAAATTATCAGATTACTTAGATCTAGTTGTCTTTGACAGATATCTTAGTTTCTGGTATTTTTTACAAGTTTTAAGAATATGAAAATACGTTTTTCACTTTTGATGTCACACAATCCATGTCGCGCCGCGAGAGAACCGAGCCTTAAATATAAATTAAACATTACATTTATTTTATACATTGATTATATGAAATGGCACTGACAATTAAACGCATTAAAATACTTAGAATTGTATGAAAATATTGCGTATAATATAATCCTTGGAGCATTGAGACACCACTTGTTCTTTTTCATTATGATTCCATGAAAAGACCAGGATTTAGATAACAATGTTTATTAAATCCCAATGATTGTATGGATGACGTTTGACACTCATTGTTTGTTGTTCTAAGATGTTTCAACTCTGCATCAATCTGCAAATCACATTAATTGTAGATCATTGTGCTATTATTACCATTATTTTAAATTTTACATTTCGTAATACTTACCATGCTAAATAAGTCTTGAACGTGATTCGTATGAGCGTGATTCATAAATATTTTACAAAGAATCTGTATGAACCAACTACCAGTTACAGAATCTCGATAAGAAACATGTCCGGGTAAAGTAGATTGAACAACAAGCATATCTGAATAATTCCTTATTGTTTGAATATGTTGTATTTCCAGATTGGTATTAGTCGTTGGCTTTACAGAAACACAAGTGTCTGTAGTAATTCTGCCGTGAGCTACACCTTTCTGTTTTTTCTTTCCTCTGCAAGGATATGAAAAATAAATAAATTAATAAGAAAATGTATTGAATAAGATAATAAATGAACACTCTTATAAAATAATATTAATGTTTATTGTTTAATTAATAAAATTAAGCAATAAAAGATCGTAAGCGATCTTTAGATGAGAGGACATTTGAAAATAGTTATTAACTAGGAACTGTCGCGGTCAAATATCACAGATCAAATATCGCGGACAGTAAACGAAGAATCTTGAATTCGGTCGGTTCTCGTTGATTTTTCCGTCTTCTATATTAGTGACTTTCAATTACATTTGTATCTGCCCTTTTAGATTTATGTAACGCTCACATGTAAAATCTATTTCCTTAAATAGTTCCTTTAAGTTATTTTTATCATTATTTGCTGAAAATTTGTATTTCTCGTTTGATAATTCCTAATATTACTAATATCAAAATTGATCTACAAGATTTTATTTGCATAGAGTAACATCGCTCAATAAATTCAATAAAAGATGAATAAACAAAATCAAATATAGGACTATATATAGAAAATTTTTAATAAGTTTCTTACCTACAAAGTTGAAAAATAAATATCTTTGGTTTTTCTGCAAGTTGCGGACAAGCTTCTGTGGTAAAGTAATCACATACTTCTGTACACAGAAGTTTTTCATAATTGGTTTGTCTTGCGCTATGATAATCAGTTCCCTGAATCTCAGTATTGTTCTCCTCATCCTCTGTACCATGGCTTGTAATGATTACAAAACATGAATCTACCTTCCTTAAATCTTCCCTTTTGGAAAATTCTTGAATTTTGTCTTTCATTTCCTGACCAAAAAGAAAATAATCATTTGATGCCATTAAATATATGCTTTTTAAATTATCTCAAAATATATCAAAAACAAATATATATACAAATATATACATGAGACATTAAAAAATATATATATAAGATATTTAAAAATTAAAAAATTTACGCTATAAGTTAAATCACTTTTGTACCTGTCCTTTTAGATTTCTATATGTAATGACCGTAAAACCCATTTCCTCAAACAATTTCTTCAAATTATCTTTATCATGTTTTGCTGAAAATCTATGTTTCTCATATGATAATTCGTAATAAATATTTGTGATTATCAAAACTAATCCACGAGGTCTACTTCGCATAGGGTATCGCTCAATAACATCATATTCACAATCTAAGAATCTTGTAGCTTTATGTACTTTGATCGTTAAAGGTTCATCAGACCAAATGTGATGACACAATGGATCTTCCTGCCTAAAATTTAATAACAATATTGTAAATATGTTAAAATCAAATAAAAATATTTACAAATTTCTAAAAAAATAATTATAAATTAGTTTTCAAATCTTTCAGATTTTGAAAGTAAAAAGAAAGAGGAGTTCACAATTAAGCTCATAATTTTTAAGTTTCCTGTGAAAACTTGCAATAGACTAAATAGACTTATAGCATTTATTCAGTGCATAAAACATTTGATTATGGAATAGAAAAAAAGGTTTACAAGATAAGAATTCGGTTGAGATCTGAAACAAGATTAAGTGCACAAAAAAAAATTTAGTAACTATGCCATATAAGGATACTATTATATCTGTCATACGACAAATATAATAGTACCTTAACACTTTATAGCTGGAAGCACTTCAAATTTAAAAAAAAGTAATAAAAGAAAGAATAAATTGTAATAACATACTTTATATTAGTATTTGTGTTACTTATTCCTTCCAATATATTGGCTTCGTTTTCATGGTCAGACTGTCTTAAACTAAGAATGAAATTTTTAAATGCATTTGGTCCTCGTGTTTTAATAGTTAGATATATATCTTTCACTGTATCTCGTAGCTCCAGATTTTTCTGTAATCAAATATATATATGTATATATTTTTTACGTATAACATATATATATATATATATATATATAATTTTATAAATATATATAAAATATATTATTTATATAAATATATATAATTATAAAATATATATAATATAT